GCTGCCGCCTGAAATGGACGTAGGCTTTTCTGGCCCGATAACATCGCCATGTTGCTTGGATCTTCGTAGCAGCCATTTCGGTACCCCCTTGGCCTTTGTATCTTTGGCCAGGTCGATTTAAGATCTTTTCCACAGTTGAATGATTCTTTATCACTGACAGAATGTCACTTTTGGTAGGATTCTCATCCAGCTCAAAGTCTGATGCAACTTCCGCCAACTTTTTACAGTTTATTGTAGCCAATGGTACAGCATAGTCCTTTAAAAGCTTTTCTGTATGTTCCAAAAGAAAGACAATGTTCCCCCAAGATAAATAATAATGTTGCTTGAACGCCAGAAAGCCTGGAGCTCTCTGGTCTATTGTGCCATTGTAAACAGTAAAGTTGCAATCAAAGCACGGATCCTGCAAGGACTGACATGGAGACATTTGTGGGGGCTGTGGGAAGAGAAGAGCCACAGATGAGGATTAATTGCCATTGATCATAAATGAGTGGTGCAGACACACGACTCTATTACTATTTATGACTTCACTGTGGCAATTTATGCATCTGAAATACACTCGTACTGGTTTATACATCGTAACCACAAAGTCTAGCCCAGCTTTACCATAAAACCTATTGCCACACAAAGACCTCAGAGGTCACACAAGATGATAAACGTTTTTATGGAAATAAATTAATTGCACAGAGGAACTGTGCTTGATTTACCCAATATAAAAATTTAAGCTCAACAGTGATTCACTGGATTACAATCAGAAAGGAACGGCAATATTATTCTGCTGAGACTGCCTCCACCTATCCCAGGAGAATGGGTCACACCTTGCCATACAAATGCAAACAGAGTAAAATTTGGAATAGAAATGTTCCTGCCTCTTAACAGAACTCCATATTTACCCACAACTGTAGCCAGCAACTCATTAGCTCTGATTTTAAATCTAAGTGCACTATTTTCAAACTATTTTTAGGCAATTATTTTCATTTGCTTTAGTAACTCGTTGATCTCAATTTCTCAAGTTTGCTTTATGTATTTCTATATTTCCTCTTTCATTTTCAGATCTCAATGGCACAAAAGTCAAAAAGCCTGGAAAGATCAAGCAAAACTCCAGACAGTTTGTTATGGAACAAAATAATTAGCCATAAAAAGAAAGAAATTTCCCTTTTGCATGGGGATCAAGAACAATCAGCAAGCACTAAGCCGTCAAGGTCAAACTCCCCTATAGTCGTCTGTAAATATAAAGAGAAACACTACATTTGCTTAACTGCAGTGAGGGAGATTTAGATGAGACACTAAAAAACTCTCTTATAACAGTAAAGATAGTTAGTTAAGCATTGGAACAGATGGCCTAGGGAGACTGTGGAGTTGCTATCACCGAAAGTTTTCAGAACAGGTTAGAAAAACATCTGTCTGCAATAGTACAGGTACAAGTAATTCTGCCTGGAGGTCTAGATAACCTCCTAACATCCTCTCTGAATTTATTTTCTAAGATTCTGTGAAAAAGTAGACAAATTGAGGTAGAAGACTTGAGAAAGTAGGAATTAGCAACATACAAAGTATTTCCTACTTGCTTCAATATTTACTATTTATTGGCTTTGGTTCAGACCCTCCTGGACCAATTCAGTGATTTACAGTCACTTCCTAAACCATCTCTAGTGAAGACTATTGAAAATATGAATAAAAACCTCATCAGCCTCATTGTCTAAATACCTGTGTCCGAGAGGGAATCTGCAGCTCATATTCCAACTGTTGACCGGGATATGTCCATGCCGGCTTTGATTTCCTTGCTGAAATCACGGAGCTGTTGGATGGACGTGGTGCAATGTCACCTTTACTAGAGGAACATGTGCCATAAATTGCTTCCTTTGAGTTTGGGAAGGTGATGGTGTCTGTATTCTCAGGGTCCATCCTACTACTAATCTCTCCTGTACCAAAGAAAAAAATTGATTGCAGGTTTCATTGTTAGAAGAAGTGCAACAATGGCACCAAATTGATACTCTACCACCTACCATTAGGTACTGGCATGCTCCAGTTTGTTCTCATGTCCAAGTGGGTTGCAATTTTCAGTTTTAATCTATGAAGTTTGTAATATGCCCGCCAACAGTATACCCAGGATAACAATGTCAAAATATTAGCACTTATACTCCAGGTTATTTTGTACACAATTTTAGTTTTCAACCACCTCTTTTCATTAGGAGAACATTTCAAATTTATGGGATTGTTACCGAGATCACTGCTCATTTTACTTACGTTCCTTTCCATCCTGATGTCACATGCCACAAGCAGCTGTAACAACAGGTTTGAGTACACTTTGTGACAGATCAGAATTCTATTGCCCAGACTATAATAACTTACTAGGAGTCATTCATTTAATCACATTGGCAAAACAGATGTTTCATCAGCTGTTGTAAGTCACGTAAGTCATGACTTAGGGTAACACTGGCTTTACACCAACACCAACAGTCAGATCTTCAGATTCAGGTGCTTAGAATTTGAAACATGCAGGTAGGAACCTACCAGGATTTCAGAAATGAAGCACCAAATCCTCACAGGGATTATAAAATCTGATTCCCATGCAGTTGCATGACACAGGATGCTCAAGTACACCTTTATGCACTTAGTATTCTTAAGAATTTGAGTGAGTGCTCATTAGACAGCTGTTCCCTTGTTAGGTTACAAAAGGGCCGGAAAGTGAAGTTGGAGATGCAATTGATGGCTGTTCTCAATCCTTTGCACTCACCTACAGCTGACTTCTTGTGCTGCCTGGGAAATTCATGGAAAGGTGCTGCTTTGGATGCAACAGGACATGCCTGGAGAGTTGTCTTTGCTGCTGGAGGGATAAGCCTTTGTTCAGTTAGGCTGAGAATACCTACAAGAAGATGACATTACTGAACAATTCATGTACATTCCAACTATGAAAGAAAAAGAATTAGCAACAATGAAGAAAGAATTAAACAAAGGCAGACTCAAGCTCTTCCAATTCCAAATTAAAACTAGAAAAGCAGCAGTTTTCTTTTATTGAAAGATTTTTCTCTCTCAATATTTACCTTCAAGGAAGGTGAACTTTGCCTATAAAAATTGACAAATACATGAAACATATTGTAATGGTGCTGATTCTCAGAAGGAATTATGTGCTTGTAAGATGGCAATTTAATATGCAGAATAGATGAGAATTAACTCTTGTAAACCACAATGTAATCAGGTAATCATGAATACAGACTGATTGCTCAAATAGTCCAAGTATAGATCTAGTTAAGATTGAATGATTAATAATCAGACATTAATCATGACCATTTATTTTGGTCAAGTTATTTAGCCATACAAGAACCCTCCATCACACACAATTCTTCTTTCCAGTAGCAACTGAACTCCATGAATTCCAAGGTAACTGACTCAGGGAGCGTGATGCTCTACGTAACACGGGCTATGTCCTCAATTAGCTACCACACAGAGTAAGTAGTCTGAAGTTGATCTTGCAACATTTGAGATCACAGTTCTTACAAGTTTGGAGGTGCCAGAAAATTTGATTACTAGATACCTGCTGCAATCAGCAAACACCACTGCTTATGTATCATACCATTGATTGGCAACAGTACCCAGGTGGGCTTCTGTAACTCACCTTTCGTTACATCATCTTCTAACAGGGGTAAGGGAGAATCCATGTGGAAGGAAGCAGGCAAACCCCAAAGGCTGCTAACTGTATGACCTTTCACTATCTTCTGGCTACACATCTAGGAAGAGACAGAATCGTCTTCTAACAAAGAGAAGTCTGGGATTTCCAAAGACACACTTTTCTATTCCCACAATAATAAATAATAAATATAATTTCTTCTATGAACAGTTTCATTAAGATTTAATAACGTGGCAGTACAAGCACTGCTTTTACTACTTATAAACATGCTACAGTATTGTCTACTGTCATTACTTCAGTAATTTAAAATAAATTTAATTAAATCAAATCTATGTCTTGTGACTTCTGCTATGCAAAAATCAGTGTACTAGTTAATAAAGGAATTACATAGACGTTTGCTCAATTTTAATGAGTTTAGTGTAAACCTAATATTTCTTGACAGAACAGTCTTCAAATATATAAAATGCATACACAGGCAAGGTAACAGAAAGAAAAGGAAGTACCTTCAAATATGTAAATACATTTTCACTGGAAAGAATACCAATCAAATTAAAATACGTAAAACTACTCACAAATCAGGGAAAAGTATCACAGACTTGTGAAGTTTCAGGGTGCCCCAAGGACAGCAGGGAATGGCACAGCCTGATAATGTGATGTAGAAACATGTGCCATCCTGGCTGTGCTAATGTGGGGATTAAAGCTCCCTTACCTCCCCAATTAACCTGCACTTGCCTGAAAAAACAGAACCTGCTGGTTCTAAGTGTCAGGAATTCAAGCAGCGATACACATCACTTTGGGACAGTGGTACCATGTGTCTTATTGTTGTGCTTATTATCGTAAAGCATTGCACAGGGAAAATAATATATTGCCACCTTATACTTTGGTATTTTAAATACCAAAAACTCTGTTATTATCTAACATTTTTCTCTGTCTTTGATATCCTAAGTACCTTCAGCTTCTTTCTGACTAGAAATACAGATACGATTCCATTTGCAATGTGGGTTGAACTGGACTCCTAAAGAAACAGAGAGCTAGATATTCAGTGGGTTTAAAGCATTACAGCACATGGAAGTACTTCAAGGCAAGTAGCATCATTGAGATCTCTCACTGGACAACAGCAAACCACCACCGGCAGAAGATTAAATTGTTTTCTCTTCCCTGGCTGATGTAATCTGGGGCAGACTGAGAAAAGGAAGCAGACAGGTTTATATGCAACAGGGCACATCTCGCTCACTGTTTGGAGTGGACATCAAGATTCCACACTCTCATCTTTAGTCAGCAAATAGCTGTGAAACCCACTAAAAAAAACCATCCCATGCTTTTGTGGGTGACAATCTGTTACCAAGTTACTCCATTAGTCTAATGGTTAGAAATTCTTACACTGGATAGAAATGTTTGAGCCCTACTGCTGAGCTATATGGAAGACAACATAATGCTGTGTGCTGGAAATTTTTTTTATTTGCTTTTTAAAAAATTATTTCATTATGAATGATGAACTACCTTAAATAATATTAAATACAGAAAAATCAGAAAGCTAGGAAACATTGACAGATTTGCAAAATGAGAATAATAGTACTTATCTCTTTTATAGAGCACATCGGGACTTCCTGGTTTAAAATCCTAGATTTTAATGAATGATTATTATGTTTATGTACAACTTTTACTACAACAGGATCCAGGCCACAACTGGGACCTCTGAGCACTATTGGGTCATAATTAGAGAATAACATCAACCATCAACTTTATAGAAAGGGATAGGCAATTCTAATAGGGAAATGAGATAACAAAATAAACTATTTTTTTCCTCCCAATTTTTATAATACCACTGTCCACAAGAGACATTAAAGAGACAGAAAATATGTATGCTTTATCATCATAGAGAATCTTTCAGAGAAATCACAGGCACTCATTTCAGTTATGGCCATTATGAAGCACTATGCTTTAAGGGATGTAGATACATGAATCTTCATGTCCTTGTGTTCCAAGAAAATAGCAATAAGCATATAACAAAGATTAACTTTATACCAGCTGGCATATAAGTGGCTTGATACTGAGAAAAGGGAACAATAAACCACACTTTTCTACTCACTGTCAGTCCCAGCAGTTTGTTGAGGAAACAACAAAAATATACAAAATGAAAGAAATTTAATTAAACAGTGACTCCTGTTTCAGGCTATTGCTATCAGTAGAGCAGCACTGATTTTATTATTGGTCAGTTTTATCCTAGTTTAAATCCGAGGAGTTTTATTATGATAAATAGCACTATGAAACAAATGTGTTTCATTTGTGTTCATAGAGATATAATAAGCTACAAAGAAAAGCAATTCAGGTAGAGTGTATGAGTTCAAAAGCAGCCTAGAGGTTTTCTGGATTTTTTTTTTAACTAGAGAGTGATATTTAATTCTTCTTTGCTGTATCCTTTAATTTCTATAAAGTCCGTGGCAGATGTCGCATTAAAATAAGGACAGATGCAGCTGTAATGTAATTTAAGCTCTTATTCTGCACAGTGCTGCTATGATTCACTTCATTACATAGTACAGGCAAAATAGTGGAACTATGGAGCTGACCCAAAACAGTCAGCTATGACAATTCCACCCAACCTGTACACCCTTCTATGTTCTTCCAGCAGCCTATTTGCTGCATTAGCTGCCCTCTTGAAGACTTCAGTAATATATCAAAGCAAAATCTGACAAAATGCTTTCATCCTTCAGTTATTTCCACTAAAATTAAGCCAACTCAATTACAACAATAAGACCTTACAAATAATTAAAATAATATTAACTACTGCAAGTCAAAGGTTTACTTTTAGCACCGTTATCATAGAATCATAGAATGGTTTGAGTTGGAATATAGTTTTATTACCATTATTCAGCAATTTAACTTTAAAATACATTTAAAAGATTGCATCTTTGTAAAAGGTTTCCAATAGACTTCCATCTGCTTATGTCAGCGCAATTTAAAACCTTTACTCACACCTGCAGCTTTTATGGCGTAAGCACAAAACCTAGTGAATTTAATATCACGTATTCCAGAACTGGCAGTTTTGTTTGTAGCGTAAACAGACCCAAAACACCATGGAATTGCAGGATCACACCCTGTACATACCTCGCCTGCCTCTGTGCTGGCAGAACCCAAGCAACCATTGCTGCTATGAGGTGATTGGAACCTCAGACATTTTCCTGCAGGAATAACGTCTTCAAATGAAGTTTGTTATGAAGATTATGATTCAGCAAGTGTGCTTGACTGAGGTCAGCACACAGCCTGCTTCATCATGGGTACTTTTAAAGTACAGTTTTATAGGGCTGGAAGGGAGCACTTAATTTGCAGTGCAGACTAAGGCTTACTTGCCTTAAAATATGCTTGGAGTGTGCTGAAAAACTATTTTTTCATTTCAAGTGCTTCTGAGTGTAATTAACCTGGGACATGAGAAAAACAATTCTATTACCCTTTCTAAAGTGTTTTTCTCCTGTGGAAAAACCTCTCCCATTTGATTTTTTTTTTCTTTTTGCTTCATTTTAAATAGGGCATTTGTTGTAACACCACAGGGATTTTCTGATTAGTTCTCCATTTGTTTTCTTTTTACCTAGACAGCAATATTTAACTTGAACAACTTATTTTAAAATATGTTTATAAACATATTTTTCCTCCAGTAAAAGAATAGAGACTAGTATGAAATACAGAGAAAAGATTAGTACTATCATGCATCAAAACTACAGTTTATCAACCAGGAAGACTAGATAGATGAGATTTGTTAAGTAAATATCAGAAAACCACAGAGCTTGATAGTACTGGTAGAAAAGGTATGTAACAGAGACATCTATCATGATTCTCTTCTCCAAATTGCCATCTACCTTCATATTTTTTATTAAGAAGTTCTTACCAAGATTTGATGTACACAGTTGATAATCCCTATAAAAGGAAGGAGGAAGCATTGCAAAATACAATCAGTGGAACTAAGGTCAGTTTTCAACATGCCCAGGAAACTGGCAGGTCAGAGCTTGCAGAAGGCAAGTCTAAGGAACTGGAACTCTGTTGAATGGTCTGTTCCACAGACAAAATGTACTACAGAAACAAGCTCAAACTATTCCAGTTTGGGAAGCAGGATGGGAATTTGTCCTTCTCATTCCAACTTACACAGTCCAGCATTTTATCTACTAATGAATAACACAGTTTCCCTTAGATGTAATACTAAGATATTAATACATATTATTTCCATCAGATTTTATCTACAGAAAATAAAGTCCCATTTAAATGGAAAGCCCAACATTGAACCTTCAATTTGGAGCAACTAGGCATCTTTAATAGGTCTCATACATTATTGCCACCTACTTTAAGCTCTTAAAGTAACCAGAGATGGCTCTGAACTGTCAATTTTCCATGTACTTGGAAAAATCCAGCATTGCTCCTTTGATTGCCTACTGCTGCCTCTCCCAGAAATTTACCTCTATCAAAATTCTGCCATAACAGGTGCAAGAGAGAAGAGATGGGGAACTTTAGTGAATCCCACAGCTGCTTTTCAAAAAAGGCAACAGAAGCAGCACAGAAGGAAGTAAGAAAGATAACTGCTGGCTTGAACTACAATACATTTTACTTATGGGCAAAGGGCCAGCTTACACGAGGCAGAATATGCAGGACCAACTTATTGGAATTCAGGGGTGGGCCTCCATTCCTGTCCGGAGACAGCTGTAAACCAGCAGCCCATAGCATCACAATCAGGCACTGAGTTTTGTCAAGGAATGCTGATATGTACAGAAACAGCTTCAGCAGCTTCGGCTGCACCCCTACCTCGCAAAATGACAGTCAATCTCCAATTCCAGATGACAAGAACTGGATAAAAACTTAAAACAAATGGTGACCTTTCAAAAGATTAATTTGTTTACAAACAAAATGTTCTACGTTTGTCATCTGAGATGGGGGTGACCTTCACATTCCCATTTCTAGGCTGAAAGGATGCAGACTATAGTCATCTGTTAACTCTATCTCACCAATTATTTCCTTTTTATTTTTTAGTGACAAGAAGATTTTATTAATTCACTGTGCTGGTTACTATGATTACATACCATAATACAAAAGCAACAAGCTTATTTTGAATTATTGTAATGTAACATCGATTTGTTTAAGTCTCATTCTGCTCCCACTGCCAAATTATGCTTTGACTGTAATTATAGCCATACGCAAAGTTTAAAACATAACTGGGTTTTGAGGACGAAAAGACCTGTTTTTCTTCTACAGCTTCTTCTAGTCACTTGAAATGAAAAGAATTGCCCTGCTTTGCCTCACTTTATAATTTTGGTAATGAACAGACTTTCAGTGATAAGCATTAGTGATCAGCATGATGCAAATACTGGATAAAGAGTGAATAACTGAGGATGTGATTAGAATGGTTGTGCTCAAATAAGTTAGCTTAAAAAAAAAAAACAAAAACAAACCCACAAACCACCACAACACAGTATCACTGCCATCACCATTAGAGCCACACTACATAAGATGCAACTCATAAAGGCTAGAAATCATCACCATATTAAATTCTACCTCATGAATAAATTAAAAGGTTCCTAAGTTTACAGTATAATGTACATTTATAAGAAAATAAGGACCAAAAAGTGCCAGTATAATTCTATAAAAGAACAGCAGTCCTATGAAAAAAAAAAGGTATAGTTGTGAATCTTTCCTACATTGCAGCAGTTCGTCAGAATTATTTTTGCTGCACTTCAGATTAGTGTTTGTTTTGCTAGATACTCCATAGGAAGTATACATATTTAATAATTATCTGCTCATCATTTTTCATTTGTTATCCAGATATAGGCCACAAAATAAAATGATGCCCAGTCTGCCCATGGTGTTTCAAACAGAATTACCGTCCTCATTTTAAGATAACTACAGAACATTAAAGGATGAAGCATTAGTGCTTATCAAACCCAAAAAAGTACAAAAGGGCAATAGTTAACTGTTCTTAATTTCTGTCATAAAATCCAGTGTCAGCAACTTTATAATACCAAAAGAGCAAGGAAAGAAGACCTTTTTCATGAAACAATGAGATCCTTACTAATAATTTTTCAAACTACTCAAGTGACAGGATAATTCAAAGTCCATGTGGATTTGTGCTTGACCTATCTGGTCACCTCAAACCCAGTGTGTTTTTAATCTCACCACATTTTTAAATGCTCAGCACTCCTTGAAAACTCAGATGCTGACAACTCTTGGAAAAAACCTGAATGCAGTTAAACAAGCAATTAGTTTTTAATTTATTTCAATGAGAGTCCTTCTACCACTGATTTTTATTTTTTTGGAGATAATCTTTGAACTTACGTACATATCTAGGGCACGTACACCGGTATACGTGTGTGTGCCCGTGTGTGTGCGTACAAATATTGCCCTCTAATGGCTGATTAGTAAAAACAGGGTAGGTAGCACCTAACTTAATTCTTGTAGCTACTTTAATTGATTTTTTTTCAAAACTAAAGACTATATGATTTTAGACCTGCAACTACACATCAATTTATTTTAGCTGCTATTGCTGATCTATAACTATAATTCCTCTAAGTGCTAGTATAGATCACATTTAACAAAAACACCTTAATTCACAATCCCAGCAGTGATTTTGCAAATCTAATTGCAAAATTTTACCCCCAGTAAAGCTAGAACATTTCAAAACACACATTACGTAATGGGATTGGAAAACTTCTAAAAAGCATTTACTGAAGTAAAATAGAAGTAGAAGTAGAATAAATTAGAGATAGGAAATACCTACTTGTTTTCTCAGCCCATTTCACCGTCATAAACAGTTCCTTAGCAACTGTAAATATGTATCAGAGAGCTTGACTAATTTACACTAAATGCTTGTAATTTAAGTCAACATTAAGAAGTTTTTCTGATCAGTATGTTTCAGTGAGAGTGGCAAAACACATGGCTCTCTGCAGTAGTATAATATTCCTCTCTGCGAGCGTTTTAGAGTGGTTCTAAAAAGCTATTAGCCATGATGCTTTTTTCTAATTAACTCTATATCACAGGGTTAGACAAATCACCTCCTCGTCTGGGCAACAGCTTTTAAAAATCATTTTTTATAAGTGGCAGCTTACAACTGTGCCATTCACAGATTCTGTTTATGTTGTTTAAAACCAAATACCCTAGAATGCCTCCTACAGCACTGGGCTTGCTGCATAATGCTTCTATTACATAAATTAAACTCTAGAAGAGCATCCTCGTGTGAGACCGTTGGGCATATTCTTTCATGTGGACCACAGTGCTGTGCTAAATTTGAGAACATAATTGATCTTTGGAAGGATGCTTGTGCCTATTACATTTTCTAAAAGCATATTTTGAAGAAAATGTCATCTTCACATTCATTTAAGAGGAGCAGCAGTTGCAGAACACACATTTGGAAGAATCAAATCTTAACCTTACACAACTTGAACGTTCCCAGACGAAAGAAAAGAACAGAGAAGGGTGATCTGATGGATACTAGTCAGGGTGCTCTGAGAGGAGTGTTATGGAAGTTCTCAGTCTCAGCTTTGGTAGATAATTGTTTTGTACTAAGAAAGACAGCTTGACTAGAAATAAAAGAAAGGCTGTGCTTCAGAATACCTTGTAGCTCGGCAGTGAGGGCAATTGCGATCTACAGACATGGAAAGGAAGAATCTGAACCTGTCCCTCACATTCTAAAGTGCTCCCAGCATGGAGCTAAGAAGTAGAACCTGACATTCCCTCCCAAACCTTGTCAGAGAAGTATGATGTAAACACCACCTAAATTCATGTAGTCACTCCAGGATTCTGATTGTCTTTCAGTAGCACCCCTATTTTTTCGATTTGGTGACACTGATTTGTGTCACCAAATCGAAATTGGTGCTACTGATTGCTTTTTTTAAAAAACAAACAAACAAAAAACTTAAAAAGAGCATTGAAACAAAGCACAAGCATTTTTCACTCATTCCTAACAATCCTGTTACCATTTGAAAACAGAATGTACTCTTGTCTCTTTAAGAAATAGCCAAAGAATGAACAACTGCAAGCCCATTCTTGTCAGCAAAACCCCATTCACTTCTTCCTTGATCTTTGGGTCATATCCTAAACTCCACAAGCTCTGGTTTGCTTATCTTCACTCCCTGATTTTACTGAAATTACTTACCATGCAAAGTCCCATGTACACTTATATTTTTGCTGGACTGGGGTGTTGCTACCTAAACCTGTTATGCTACAAGTTTGTTTTCCCCAATATTGTCACTCAAAATGTTTTGATTGTTACATATCAATGTCAAAAAGTAGGAAATTATGAGGTACTTTCACTTTTTTTTTTTTTTTTAATTTAGGTCTGATATGTATTAACTTTAATAGCAAAAAGTAAGGCATGTAATAAGTTACTTACAGGAGCAGATTTTTTCTTAGGTATATGTGGCAGCCTGGTCTCATGGTTCTGTTGTTTCAAAACAGCTTTATTATTGAAGTTCTCTGGGTCAAGCATAATCTTCATATCCATTTCCAGCTGATGCTGAAATAGAGAATATACATCATTTTAAGATGACTGTACTAGGACAGAAGTGTTTATAAGCAGGAATTGGCTAACGTTCATAAATTTGAAAAACGATGATAAAAAAATCACGTTATTTGACTATCTACACAGAAGTGGGCAAACAATGAAAAAGCCCCTTTTTGATTAGATGGATGACTTAGCAAGACATACAACTACAGTCCACATACATGCTTTTGTAAAATTTTTCAATTAATTTAATTACAAGCTCCGAAATTTCCAAGTTTGCACACCTCTGAGTTAAACTTTAACATGGTATTTCCTTAATGTACTGTGTTATCTGCATGGAATGGATTCAACTATTTTCCTAATAAAATTTATTATTATTTAAATCCCAATGGAGAGAAAGACTTTTAAAGTTTCTTGTTACAAGAAGTATCTAAAGCACACACCTTTTCTATAAAGCCAGAAGCAATGCCATGCATTTTTTACAAAAGTTTCTTACGTGGAAGACATTTTGGTTCATCTTAAAGCACATGCTTTAGTTTACACCTGGATCTGTATCAAGTGTAGTAATTTCTCACAATATTTTTGTCACAATAACATTGCTAACTAGCATCTGCATCCAACAGGGTTTATTTAACAACCAGTGCTGAATAAGGAAGGATCCTCAAACGGCAGGAACTAGTGTATCACCAGAGAAGTCAACAGAGCTAAGGTAATTCAGAGGAGCTGAGGGCCTGGCAGTTTATGTGCTTAATCCCTGTTACCCGGATATGGGAAAACAAAAAGCTCCCTTACATAGTAAGATCCAACTAAACATATTTATACACAAGAACTCTGCTGATACTTCTATTACGTAAACATAAAAAAAGAATTTATGATACTTCTGCTTTTTAAAAAAACAACATATGCCATCAAAAGTGTAAGACTCATTAGAGGTACATTAGAACTATTAAACAATAGTATTGCTTTGTGAAAGCACTAAAAATGGTTTAATTTCTTTATCTGCACAATATATTCTCTTCTTTGATAGTAATTACAAGCCAATGTATGAGATGCTCATTTAGATTTGGGTTTGTAAGAACAGAAGTTATTATCTAAGCCAACTACTCTTTTACCCACATGGCTGCACAGAGACAGAAAGTTCAATTTTTACCTCATCAGTGATTTTGTTGTATTTATTTTATTACTATAACACACCGCTGTAGAGAAAGGAAACTGCTTGTGCTATTAAACAAGAACTGGGGGAAAACTGAGTACCTTCTCAATTAAAATAGGAGATGATTCACAATGCAGACTCCCCACTCAGACTGACAGTGAAATGATCAATGCTGGAGTGGCAGATTCCACACAGGATAACAAGAATTGAAATGCTTAATAAAAAAAATTGATGAAAGTTACGTTGTCAGCTTAGATGGATGGCAAGTGACAAGTCTACATTTGCAGGAGCTGGAGCAGATGGCATCATGGGTCTCTTCCATCTATATTATCCAAAGTCTTAAATTTAAGCTATCTTGAACCATCTTGATGCAGAGTAAGAAAAAGATGAGAATAGCAGGGCAAACATAATGCTCAATGAGAATTATTGTGCTCAATTATTAACATGGAGTACAGTGGAAGCATACAGAACAGGTTGACATGCTCAGTACAGTTAAATGGTTCAAATCTTGTTCCATGCCAACACAAAAGTAATTTCAGAGTGGAGGGCATTTTTATCATGTAGGAATCAGAACAAATCTGATTCTCTATGTAATTCTGTTTTGCAGATGCATGTGGTGCCTAGTTTCTAATAGAGCCCAATTCCTTTATGAATGGACTACATATTAATCTTTGAAACAATATGTATTATTGGTAGCTAAACCACTTTTCATGTCTAGCTATTTATGTTATTTGCATATTCTAGAGAGCCCTAGAAACATCTTTTCATTTATATCTTTAATTCTGTTAATGATGAGAGAATATTAACTTCTACTGTGTATTCTAAATGTCCCAGAAAGTATCAACTTTTGGGAAAAAAAAACAAAACAAAACACAACAAAAAACCAACAAAATCCAAAGCTGCACAAGCATCAGTTCAGGTGTTTTCAATTAAGCATTAAAAATATATATATATATTTGAACTTATACACTTACCAGCTATGGATAGCAATGTCTTTTCAGACACTGCTATACAGAAGCTTTACAATTACTGCACGAGGAAGACACCTCCTTATGGCTCTCAAGCTTTATTAGAAGAAATCCAATTACAACGCATAGAGGGGGGAAAAAGAAAAGGGGGGGGAGGACGACAATGCTTTGCAATTCCCCCTGTGAGCTAGATTTGCAGAGTCTTCTCTGGCTGCTGCTATGACTCAGAAATACTGAATGTGTGAGTAAACAATAATTTTAAGCCTATTCTGACACCTGTGGGCAAGCTATTTCCCATATGACAAGTATTCTAGCAATGCATATGTGAAAATAGCATCTGTGCTCATTTGACTCCAACCTTGTTTTATCTTAACTACTATAAACGCAATTTATGCTCCATTTCTACTCTTGTACGGCATACTCTGGACTGCAAAGCACAAAAATATTACTACATGAATTCATAATTTCTCTCAGAACAACTATGAGTTGAAACATTGATTTTTTTTTCAAGCTTATGTACCTGGAAATACTGTCTGCAAGTGGAAAAATATTCAGTTAACTAATATTTCTTTTCAGCGGAAAGGAATTTTGAACACCACCAAAGTACATTTTAAAAAAACCCCAAACTGTTTATAGCTACAAGTAAGGAAAAGACAGGAAGGAATTGTAGGTGATAATTTCCCAGCTGGATTTCACATCTATTTAATAACAAAAGCTTTTTATGTTGGCATGCTGGGCATGTAGAACAGCTGGCAAAACAGCACTGTTTGCCATTTTCTTTATAATGGGAAATTAGAACTAGCTTGTGTGTCACTGGATATGCATTTCTAAGCAGATGCCGTAGATATCAGAAATGAAAAGACAAAGAGAAAGTCAAGGCAGGACAGAGCATGTGCTCCACTGTAAATTAAGTTCATTGGTGCACATGAAGAGTTGAAAGACCACAGATAATACAGAATTTACAGAGTAGCTGAACTCTGATAGTTATTTTTTTTCACAGTATAAGTGTATTCGTATAGAACAGGGTTGGAATACGGCCTGGAAAAAAATCAAAGGTCTCATTGCACCTTATCCGTCATTGCAAGAGTAACTAATATTTTACTACTACTTTATATTAGGACTTCTTTTACAAAGCTAATCAGCAATATAAGTGTTAGGCTGCTCATTCTGATTACACCATGTCAAGTAGCTTCGATCCCTATCTTCTGGTAATAATCTTAGAACTACAGAGAGCATTCTTAAGGTTCTCTCTCACTCAAAGCTCCCTTGGATTTAAACAGTAATAACCCAAAATTGTGACAACACGTATTTTTCAATTCAACTAATTATCTTAATTTGTTTTAAAAATATGTTTGAGGAAACCACCTTGAATGCATCAGTCAAAATTCATAGCTTAGAATAAAAAAGCAAAAATACCTGGTTTCAGAACTCTAACAATATAGTTGTGGGGGCTGAGAAATAAAGAATGGAAGGCTTGTGGATGCACTCACAATGACACTGAAGTCCTTCCTAACTTAGATTTTATTGGGACTGTGAGGCTGGGAGAAGGCTCCTCTCTCAGCCCACGCATTCTACTATGAATTTTTTAACACTTTCAGTCACAGATGGTATATTATCAAAATCTGAATCCATGTGGAGTCAGAACACAATACTATAGGATCAACAGGTAACCTACAAGACACCAGTCTACTCATTTAACATGGTCTCTAGCAGAATAAACAGTATGTTATTTCAGACCTGCGAACCTTGAGAAGCGCGTAGTGCTGATTTGCTGTATTCCTGGACAGTCATGGGCTCAACAGGTACCCGTGGTAAAATAAGCTGTTTCCGTGAAGCACCAAAATGAAGGCCCCTGATTTAGAAAGAAACAAACAGTGAGGTTTTTTAAAATTATGTTATTTTATTTATTAAACCCATTCTGCTTGCATCTGGTTGAATCTGAAAGACTATCTTTTTATTCAAATTTATCAAAAAAATCGCAGAGGTTAGCAGAAGGTTGCTGTAGCTGCTTAGAACTGCATTTACTTTGGAATTTTATTTTTACATAAACAAAATAAAACCAAGACAGCAAATGACCAAAATAACCTCATCTGAGCTGAGCCAATATTCCCATTTGCATTGCAAGATTTTGATACCACAGCTTTTCTGTCTTGCTACCTGCATTGTCTCTGCAATAAAACAGCTGCTTCACTTACCATTTAGGGAGCTCTTTTGAGTGTACTTTATTATCAGCAGAAGAAATAGTTAACACTTGTCTGTTTGTATAATTTAAATAATTTTCAGCATGTTTCTGTTAGAGGAAAAAAAACAATGTTTAGATTATTATGAAGGTTGAGGGATGTTAAATTTATTTAACTCAGTTAATTAAGCAATACAGATCTTCACCTGACTGAGAGGTTGATAGGCTTTGTGCTTCTGTTGGACTAAATCAGATTTTGGCTAATAGTTATGGGGAACAAGATCAGCTAATCCGACAGCCCCAAAAAGGAAGCCATAGTTCTGAACTGTACCGCCTGATGAACCCCATAATTTCTTAGTTAGAAAGGGATCTTGCCAGATGACAAACACATGGCCCCACGTACTGCAAGTGAACTACTGACAGAGATCACAAAAACTGAATTGTCTTCTGGATCTGCTCCATTTTACTTACTCTCAGCCCAAATTCTGGTCTTTCAATTGCTGTTTCCAGGTGACTAATATCCACAGCTTCTATGTTTCCTTTCAAGCTGGTATTTTTCTCTTTGACTTTAAGCTTATGAAGATCTTCTTGAACCTGAAAAGCAAGTTATGACAAAAATCATACCTGTAACCAAAACCCATGGGATTACATAGCAGGGTTTAATCTGAATTAAATGCTTCCTAAATACACGAAAGAAATACATACATGCAACTTCCTATACCTCTGTACTTTTATTTATAAAAGAACACAAAGCCACTGAATGTAAAGCTATTTACTGTAGAATACCTGAAAAAGAGTTCATTTTAAAACAAATCTCACAAAGCAACGGCAATAAACTTCAGGACTGAGGCCCTTTGCCAAGGAACAACCTTTCCTTACACATCTCAAACATCTCTCTCGGCACAGCTGGCTTCACTGCGCAGGAATCTCACAAGTGTTAACGAGGGGCTGAAAGGTATGAGGAGATAATGGCACTATATATTAAAAAAAAAATGTATATTTACACCATGTCAACCAAAGTTCAAGGTCGCATTACGCTAAGAATCACAATTCACAGAGCCCAAGCCCTCAGCCAAAATCCCGGCACCTCAGCCGCTCCCTCAGG